CCTGTCAAGCTAACGGTGTCCTCTTCTTCCCGTATATCAGGGTTTGTGCCCTTAAGATGTGTATTTGCTGGAACAGAATCCATTTCTGAGCGCTCTGTGTCAGGCAGAAGAATTTGGATTAAAGTTATACGCCTGGAAAAAACAATACTTGTCCTCCATAAACAGCAAGCTGGTTCTTGTACTTTTCACACTCGATGAAACTTGAGAAAATAAGGCTCCAGAAGGCGATTTTGCACTATCGGCCAAATTCCCGCAGTAATGAAAAAAAGAATTTCTCAACCGCCATAAAAAGATGATGGGAAATTTTGGATCCAAAATTAATTTAGCCCAAAATTTTCAAGGTTTAAGTAATAAAAATGAACATAATCCTGTTAGCTATGCTTGTCTGTTTGTTTTTTTTTTTGGTATCAACTATTAAACACATCAACTGCACTCAAGACGGAGTAACGAAATGATTGTGATTTTCAGTATTTTCCACGAAATTCATCCAGCCCAGAATATGGCCTGTCACTGAAACCGATGCCAACGGTTTCTGAAATGCGCGGTATTATCACCGAATCAATTCTGGTCGATTTTGGAGCAAATCGATTCCAGGATTGGCCCGATTTTGACTTCTTAGGCAAGTAAGTTCTTGCTATTTCTCATCTCTACAAGAGCTTTTAGTACAAGAATTCTGATCAGTACTCTCGAAGAGAAAGCAAGTAATGTTGTTTGTTTTCTAAAATGTTTGAAATTTTAAAATTAACAGTTATAAAAAATTTTAATCAACATCCCCCCAAAATCTCGGCTTCTCAGCTTTTCTGGTTCCCGAGCTAGCAATTTTTTCGCCAAACCTATGTTGACGGGATCTAGCCCAATAATATTTTTCCAAGAATTTTGCGAAATTTGTTTCAGTGTTCGGACATTCAGCGAGCTGTGGGCCAGCATGAATCGTTCGGTACCGTTGTTGGTGATCATTTTCGAGGATTCGATGAGTTCAGTTGTTGGAGCGGAGGTAAAAAAAAGTTGTTACTGACAGAATTTCTTTATATAATCTTTTCTGCATTCCCTTTATAAGCTGCTCCTGACGTGTGAGAGCATCCCAGCAGCATCACTGACACGAAATACCCACATCGGCTGCCCAGGCGGTTCCTTTGGTTTCAAATTCAAATTTAATTTTCGATTAAGCAAAATTTTTGAATTTTTCGGGATAAAAATTAAATTTAAATACCTTGGGCCAAGAACATTTAAACAAAAATTAATTTAATTAAGAAATTGAGCAAAAATTTCGATGATATTCTACTTCAAATGTTATGCGAATTTCATTAAACATTTTCAAAATGGCTTTTTACTTTAGCTTATACTTGATATGTCCAAATATTCGGATCGGCTGGTCGCTCGCCGATGCTTGAAATCTCATCCGTTGGCAGATGCTCTACATATCAGGGATTTTCCCACTTTGGCAATTTTCAAGCGAGACCAGAGGACACCGCTACTGATCGCTGAGTATGGTTCTTTTTTCCTGAAATTATCAGTGAATAAAAGCAAGGTTTCCACATTTTATTAAAACCAAATGATTTAGAAAGGTGGAGTGACTGCATATCAAAAGATTGTTGTAAGTGGCCGAGATGTGAAATTATAAATGTTTTGAAAAATCTTAATGTACAAATTTATATATATATATCAAATTAAACCTACAATTCCTACACTTACTCGCATCCGATGCACTGTCTGTGTTTATAGCTAAAGGATGAAACACTAACTGCAAACTTATCTGACCCATTCGAATATGTGATTTTCAAATAACCTTACTGAATATTATATGTTCAGAATGATTGTAGGCACTGGCTTTTAAACTGGGAGAAAGGAAAGGCGAAAGAGTTTTGAATACCGGATGTTAAGGGTTTTTTTTTGGTTGGTTGCAGGCTTTAAATTGCTGTTAAACAAAGGACCGAAAAACACTGTAATTTAGTATTCAGTGATAATAGAAATTACAATTTCTGAATGTTTTTTAGGTTGAGGCGATTGTTATTCAGCGAATTGGAACGATTTCTGGTCAACGAGGATAATGAAAATGAGATTGAAGGGAATATTGTTCAGGATCGATCTGGTTGCGAGAAGAATCCCGCAGAGTATGTAACCGTCTCTTTGTTTTGGACATTTGTTCATTTTTTTGTCTTAAGAATAACGGTCAAATAATTTTCAGCAAAGCCTACGATTCTGTTCCCTATATTTTACTAAGAACTTAGAGTACTGGTTGAGATGTCTACAAAAGTGAGAAAATTCCAAGAAAACCCGGACCGTTCGGGTAGTCAATTTGGGCATGATGGTACGGGGCTGCTAAGCACTACAGCGAGGAAATATCGGAAAATTTTTGTTAAATACCAGCAAAAACCAAAAAAAACCCCGTTAGACTTACAGTGAGAAACCTTTGTGGGTAGCATTGGAACATGTGAACCAGTGGTTCAATGTTAAGACAATGTGTCAAAAGTCAAAACTCCCTCGCTCTTTAAAACTGCCTGAAAATTGAAAGCGCTCGAAAATAGCCTGATTGGTAGCAAGTTAACAACAGTAACTAGTAGCTGGCAGCATCGCTGGTGGTTTCATTTTTGAAGTATTATTGTTTTTACATTTAAAAATTAGAACTAACAAAAAAAGCAAGAGTGCCATGACATTTAGTATAGATTCTATTAACAGTGTTGTTATTTGGCTGCCTAGACACAGCTATGGACTGCATACCTCCAGTTAGTACCCATCGCCAGTTGGAAATG